TCCCTTCATAGCCTAAGGGAGATGACAGGCAGTAGAGGGGATCAGTAGAGGCAGTAGAGGCCTGGAACGCAGGGCACTTTTGCTTATATTCTGTTGTAAATTACTATTTAATCACAAGGCCACACCTACTTGCAAAGGAGAGTGTAATTCTGATACCAGGGAAGAAGAAAGGATTCTGGTGGGTAGCTGGCAATCCCACACATTGTCCCTGTGTTACCTCTTTTAGTTAATGGCGTTATTGTGTCAAATGCCCAAACTTGAGTCTGTCACAGTCAACTTCCACATCTCTACTCTTCCCAGGCCCCTTACCGGTCAACTCCCTGAGTAGCCCCAGCTTGGTCCTTACTGTTCCCTCCTACACACCCCGGTTAAGGCTGTTGTATCTCTTGATAAGTGTCTGAAATTGCCTCCTTGTGTGAGCCTCTCCAGGCTCATCGCTGTCTCTAACACGTCCCTCCTCCAACACAGCATTGCGCTGCTGTCAGATGCCACATCCAAACAAAGACCTGATTGTCCAAGGCAGCTCAGGCCCCTTAGCAGTGACCTCCACGCTCACCGTCCAGGCTGCGAGTGTCACATGCAAAGCAGCCTCTGCAGCTGCTTTCATGGCTCAGGAGCTCATGCCAGATGCACCCTCCCCTGTCCCAAAACTACTCAGCCTGCTCTGTGACCTGTGCCTCTACCCTGTTGTGTCACACTAGGACTCTACCCAACACAGGCGCCTCAGGGTCTTACAGATCTGATTTCAAGTCTCTCCTCTTCCTTGCCTTTCTGCCACAGACAAGCGTTAACCACAACTGATTTTCATCTAGCTCTGTCTTGAAACTCTCTACCGGAGACCTCTCTCAGGCCCACCTTCTGCAGGGCATCCTCTCATGTATCATGTATCCCAACCCCAGAGCTCCAACCCGGGCCCAGGACTGCTCTTGATCAAGAGACACGTCTGGGCAGTGGTCATGTCATTCTCACCAGAAGCTTCATCAGTTCTCAAAGTTGAAACAGGTTTTCTTTAGTGTGCCAGCCAAGGCCTGGTCCCACCCCCAATCACCTCCACTGCCAGTGCATCCTTCTCATCGTGACATTTCTCTCATTGTCACGTCCTCCATCTTTGTCTCTTCTTCTCAGACTCTATGTCTGTCCCATGTCCTTCTATGCGTGGCTTCTACCTCTGCAGGTTTTTGTGTACACAGCGTTCTCTTTAGGAACATATTCCTTACAGGACTGTGATTTGGACATCTTTTCACTCCCCGTTTTCGAGAATGATTTGGCAATCGCTGGGCAAGATCTCATCATTCCACTGCTTCCAACCTCTTTTTTCCTCAATGGCCTCAGTGATACAAACCCAACACAGGCGCCTCAGGGTGTTACGGATCTGATGTTCCAGTCTCCCCTGCTCCTTACCTTTCTGGCAACAAGGAAAGATAGACAAGATCCTACCTGGAGACCTTGGCATTTCTGTTTCTTTATTCCTACCCTCTTTCCCAGATTACTGCCCTCTCTTACTTCAGCTTCTCTCCAAGGACACTTTCTCCCTGAAGCCCTCCCACTGCTTGTTGTTCTTGCACAGCACAGATCACCTCTGCACATTGTATATATTTGACTCCTTAATTCTTGGGTACATTTTCTGTCTCCCTCCCCACCCCCCACTAGAAAGTACATTTCATCCTCTCTTAAATCTGTTTACATCTGTATTCCCAGAGCCTAGGGTAATTCTGAGCCTGTCAAAGGGACTCTTTATTTGTTCAAAGAAAAAAAAAAGGCAAATTAATAGAAGGTGTTCAATAAATATTGCTTAAGTAAAGTGAAAAATGTCAGAAGCGGATAACTGAGATTGCCAAAATGTGTACAAGAGTGAGGTTGAGTGGAAGCAGCCTCGTGATAAACAGCCTCCAGGAAAGATTAAGCCTATGTACGGTAGGAAGTCTAACGGCACAGCACGGAAAACTTTTGGGGCGATGTCTGGGGCGGGCTGCCCGCCTGCCACCCCATTTGAAGACTTGTTTGTTCCACAGGTGCTTTCTCTTAAGCTCATCCTCTCTCCACAGCTCGTAAAGAACACAAATCTTGGGTGGCCTATGTGACACTTCTCAGCTCTAAGTAGGAAATGGTCAAGAGTGAAACTGGCAACAAAAACATCGCCCAGGACCCGATTAGGGATCTTGGGGGGAAAGCAGAGTCCATTTTAGAGCCGTGGCGAGTGCAACTTTCAGTCTTTGCCCAGGCTCCGCCTCGACGCTGTTTATCTGAACATTTCCTCGCTGGCTCAGGCTTTTGCAACCGCCTACTTTCCGCAGGAGGATGGCGCTCTGATCTCCAAGCTCCTTCTTCCCTCCGGGACTCCATAGTATATATATATTTTTCCTTCTTTCACGCTTCGTCGCTACTACGGCAGACGCCTGCCTTCTCATTATTTGCGGTACAGATCTCCGGTGCCTTGACTGTAAACAAAACACTTTAGATCATAGCAAGGTCGATGTAAACATAGCCCTGCTGCTGGCAGCCAGACGTCTTAAGGTGGCGTGACTGTGGCTCGTTTACTTTCCAAGATTAACCAAGCAACAAAATGGTGCTCCTGCTAGGGAGTTGTAAAAAGATTTGAGTGTGTGGTGGTGAGAGGACTACTCATTTTCTGCTTTTATGTAAGATATCAATTCCATGAATCAAACTTCCGTGGCAAGGTGGAATACTCTAGAATACCCCTGTTTACATAGATGGGGGGGGGTTGTGTATGTGTGCACATGAATACATCTTGATAGTACAGGATTCCTGTGTAGTTTGGCAATGTATTAAAAAATTTTCGACAATGACCTATTTCCAGGGGTAAGGTATATATTATGGTATTGAAGCATATGTCATTTTCCTGGCCCTCTTTCCCTCTTTTGCAATCAAATACATTAAGTGATTGAGGCATAAAATCTGGAAAAAATTAACAAATGAGATTTGACCTATTTTTGAGCTGAAGTCCTTCCTGTCAGGTAGGACATCCTGATTTTAAAGCAAGTTTTGGGCACTGCCTCTCTCACAGCTCTCTGGGGGTCACTCAGCCCTTCCTTTTGGAATCTGCATTAAAGTTGAAGGAGGGATAGTGATACCAAAGACCACTGGCAGCGCATGTAAATATCAGCGACCACAGACCACAAGGAAACATCTGCAGGCAGTCTAGGGGCAAGCCAAGGAGCCATTTTGACTCACTTTTGAGAGAGGGGACCTGCAGATGACAACACAGGAGCTGGGACAAAATCTCCAACCTGCAGGGGCGGGGCGCGGGGGAAGGGGGCAGGGGGGGAGGGGGGATCAAAAAGGAAGGGACCAGAAAACGAACCAGTCTGAGAATCAGGGACCTGCACTTAGTCCTGCTTCTACTCCCAACGGGATCTGCGTCCTGTACTGGAAACTCTGAGTCTCTGTTTCCTGGGTGGTAACAAGAGGGGGTTGGACCACAGGGGTCCCAAAGCCCCCCACCCTTTCCTTCCCTCCCCGCCCCCCCCACGCGTTTCCAATCTGGTAGGTCTAGGGTGAGGCAGGCCCCAGAACAGACAAACAATATGTGGCTAAGAAAACAAGTTAAAAATCCAACTCATTTGTAGCCTAGGTGCCTAAGAAAACACTGTGTCTACTAAGAGAGCTGAAGGAGTTTCCAGTAAAAGTTATTAACTTTGCCTCAAACCATTATTACCAGCAGGGGGGGGGGCGGGGAAGCAGTCAAAGACCAATTGAGCTTCGCGAGCTGTCCCAGATAGGGGCGCCCAGCCTATCTTGTTTTTAACTTCTGCGGCACTCGAGACCACACTGATAAACCTCAGGTGGCAACGGAGAGCAGAGAATGCCCGAGAATTAAATAAGGCACGGTTGGGGTGGCTTTATAAATCACTTCATAATCGAGACTGCTTGCTTTCGCTCTTTCCACGGCTTGTAGCCAGCCCTCGAAACGCGTTCACTTGCCTCTGGATGTTGTTCTGGGTGGGCTGGAGCAGTGACTTCGGTGGGAGAGAAAGGTGGAGGAAGGAAGCTGTTGTACTGGGCGGCTAGACTCAGGTAGAGGAAACTACTATAACCCGGGCAAGGACTGAAAAATACGAAGAGGAGACGAGTTCCCACACGCAGTTAACGTCAGTGGCCTTAGCTGCGCTTGGGAAGCGTGAACCTGGACCGGGCTGTAACCTCGTTGTTGAAAACTGCATCTGAGATAGACACCAAGCTTCTATCAGGGACTTGGGCGACGCCGCGAGTTTCTCATCTTCAAGTCTTCTTTGGGGTTCAGAATACATTGTAAATGCTGGCCTACTCCTCGCTAATTAATAGAAAGACATTCGCCATGCCCTCCTCCCTTGCCCCCCTCTACCCTCCATGAGAGCGCAGTATTCTAGGTTAAGGGTGAGCTAACCACTGCTCACCCCCAGCCAAGGCAACCAGCCAGGGGGTCTCGCAGTCGCCAGTCGGTTTCCCCGCCTCCCCTGCGGTGCGAGAGGTGGGGGGCAGCGGTGGAGAGCGCTGCGGGGGGCAGAGCTCCCTCTGTCCGCCTCCGCGCCCCCAGCTGCCTGCTTCCACGCTCTGCGAATGCGGGGGGCTGGGGTGGTGGTGGTGGGGGGGGAACACGAGCTCGCCACGGAGGCGCAAAGCCAGCTGCCAGCCACCTTCGAGTCTAGGGGTGGATGGGTCGTCTGGTGCCTCTCCAGTTCCCGGGTCGGGACTCCGCTACCGCGGTCCATCAGGTTGCTCAGAGCTGCGACCAGCACCCAGGGCCCCGCCGCCAAGCCGCTCAGGCCCCTCCCAGCTTCCCGGCCGTTCGGCTAGTTTGTTTGTCTTATTTTTAATTTCTCCTAGGCCAGCCAGAGCAGGTTTGTTGGCAGCGGTATACCTCCAGCAATCACGCGACCAGCCAATCTCCGGGCGGCGCTCCGGAGGCGGCACGCTGAGGAGGCGGGGTGGCTGCGAACCGCGCCGGGGCCACCTTAAGGCCGCGCTAGCCAGCCTGGGCTGGGCGGCTCCCGGCGCCGCGACCAATGGATCGCCTTCTCTGTTTAAATAGACTTGCGGTGTCAATCATTTTCTTCTTCGTCAGCCTCCCTTCCACCGCCATATTGGGCAACTAAAAAAAGGGGGCTCGTCTTTTCGGGGTGTTTTTCTTGCCTTGCCCTCTCCCCACTTTCTCGTCGCTCCGCGATTCTGACGCCGGCAAGGTTTGGAGAGCCGCTGGGTTCGCGGGAGCCGCGGGCTAGCACCCGCCTGGACTTGGACTGGCCCGGCCACCCCCTCCTCTCTCCTCTCCCCTCCCCTCCCCGCCCTCCGCTCGCTAGTCCACTGGATCCGCGGAGACTTTGGGCTGCCTGGTCCGGGGCTTCCCCTCGCCCCCTCCCCCAGACCCTGCGCGCTCCTGACGCTCGGGCAGTTAATCGCTGCTGTTTGTTTCTCTTGGCTCCGCGGGCAATCGCTGGGCTTATAAGAGGAGTGCGGGCTGGTTCGGGGCGTTTTGTTTTGTTCGGTTTTGTTTTCGGCGAGCGCAAGAGAGGCGGTCGTAAAGACCTGGGAGGAAGATGTCAAACGTGCGAGTGTCTAACGGGAGCCCGAGCCTGGAGCGGATGGACGCCAGACAGGCGGAGTATCCCAAGCCCTCCGCTTGCCGAAACCTCTTCGGCCCGGTGAATCACGAAGAGTTAACCCGGGACCTGGAGAAACACTGCCGAGACATGGAAGAGGAGAGCCAGCGCAAGTGGAATTTTGATTTTCAGAATCACAAGCCCCTCGAGGGCAGATACGAGTGGCAAGAGGTGGAAAAGGGCAGCTTGCCCGAGTTCTACTCCAGACCCCCGCGGCCCCCCAAAGGTGCCTGCAAGGTGCCAGCGCAGGAGAGCCAAGATGTCAACGGGAACCGCCAGGCGGTACCTTTAATTGGGTCTCAGGCCAATTCAGAGGACTCTCATTTGGTAGACCCAAAGACTGATGCATCGGACAGCCAGACGGGCTTAGCGGAGCAGTGCACCGGGATGAGGAAGCGACCTGCAACGGAAGGTAATGACCCCTGCCCAGACATAAAAGGTCTGTCTGGGGCACCGCTCGGCCTGCCTGGGGGTCAGTCCTTAGCCTCAACTTTGTTCTCAGCGCTTTTTGATCTAGCTTAAGGGGAGCGAACTTTGCTGATCTTAGGTTTTAAAGGCTATCTACTTGCTTGCGTGCCTGTTTATGATTTTTATGGCAGCTGCCCGAGATTGTTGTTATCTCTGATCATTTTTCTAACCGAAAACATCTCAGTTGGTCCCCGCCAGCCTTAGGGAAGTGACAACGTTGGGATGTTGAACTGTGGTTTCCCTCGTCTCTGTGGACAGAAAGAGCTTTGAGGACTTAGAATACACCTTCTGTTGTGTGAAAACAGCCTTATTGTGTACCCTTAAAGGCCACTGCGAATGACGGTCCAGGATTGTGGGTGGAGGTGGTGGGCTTTTCATGCCCTGACTCTTGGGCCAACTTAATGTCAGCCATTGTTTTTCCTAATAAAGATTGTGTGTTCTTTTTCAAATTCTCCCTCGCCCTTAGATGCCTCTCCTCAAAACAAAAGAGCCAGCAGAACAGAAGAAAATGTTTCAGACGGTTCCCCCAACGCGGGCTCAGCGGAGCAGACGCCCAAGAAGCCCAGCCTCAGAAGACGTCAAACGTAAATTACTAGGTGGGTGGATTACTAGGAGCAGACAACTGACACCCACCCGCCTTGGGCAGCAGTGGCCCTGGGCTTCACTTCCCAAGATACCCGATCTCAGTGGTTGCTGGCAGATTAGAACTTGTGGGTTTCTGTTTTGTTTATATACTCCTGAGATCAAAAATGTAGAAATGGGGAAGGCGGGGAATCACTTGTGGGGATACTGTATTTCCACACTTTCCGAGTCCTCAGATCGGTTTGCCGCAAAACTGAGAGGACTAGAGCAAGTGTCCCCGGCAAGTCTTTGGAGCAATGCTTTTTGGGTAAGAAGGTCAATTCCCTGGGAATCCCACCAAAACATGTTGGGAACAATAGGGTCCTTTTCCATCTGAAGAACTGGGGTAGACCTCAGTCCCACTTCATGAGAATTCATTTTTCCGGAGGGTCGGCTTGTTTCAGTTACAAATTTTGGGCCATCCCTGGGGAAATGACAAATAAGTGATGACATTTAAATTTCGAGGGAAAAGTTAGTTACAAATCACTCCTATTTGGTTAATCATTGGTCAGTAACATGAATAGGCAGGTGTGTTGCATTCTTTTATCTTCATCATTTTCACAAACTGTCACTTTCCCTGTGTTTTAATAACTTTTGAAAACAAGGAGAGAGCCAGTGTACTAAACAAACAAACAAAAAAACCGGAAGGTTCAAAAATACTCAAGTTCCTATAGTGTTTTTGATAACACTGAGGTTGCAAAGCAGAAGTTAAATTAACTCTGCCAGAGTAAGCATTCCAAGAACACGTCAGCATGTGTACGCTAATCTTGCTAGCACAGGATGATTTGGGTATTTGTGGGGGATATGTAGTGTAGTTTTTAGGATTGGGGAGTGTAGGTTTGTCCTGAACAAAGGACATGGAGATTTTCCATCTACTAAAATCTGATCAACATGAATAACTCATTTGAATAATTCGGCCCCCAACTTTATCCGATTGGCTCTCTGTAAAGATCAAACTGCATATATGAAGTTTGTAAACCTCTTGCAGAGGAGGACAGTGACCTCGTTTTTTTCCCCAAACACTTCTTAAATACACTCATTGCCTGGCAAATAGAGATTTTAATCAAAGTTGCCATGGACGTTTTAAATCTTCATTTATAAAAATTTAAAACTAAATTAAAAGAACATAGGGATTAAGGTAGGATTTAAGTTTACTGTGTTTTTAAGCTACAATACCATCATATATAGCTATAAACATGTGCATGTATAGATGATATCTTTATATATGTAATTTTCCAGAGCCTATACAACACAGCACTCTAGAATCTTTATATTATAGTGTTATATAAAAGTGACAAATTGGATGAGAATTTCCTGCAGACTCCTGCAGGCCTATTGGTTTGGGACTTAAGATGAGCCACTGTGTTTTAATGAGTGGACGACCAGTCGCCTTGGATTTGATCTGGCCCCATCTGACATGCAGAGATTAGAGGCATTTGTTAGTAAATATTGCCAATTTAGAGAATACTAAAATTACTAAGTATATATTCAAAAGCAAAAGCATTCATATGTATATTCTGTTTATGACTAGGAAACTAGTATATTTTGAAAAAAAAAGTCAATAGAAATTTCTTTGCAGAGGCCTTATTATTAGTTCAGTTATTTTCCAAACCTAGAAAGCTTTGTTACTCTTTAGTGTTACAGTTTCTGCACTTCTTTCAGTGTCTTAGGCCCCAGTTCTCTAGACCAGGGTCTCTCAGCCTTTGTACTGTTGACATTTTAGGCCAAATACTTATTAGTTGTGGGAGTCCATCCTGTGCATTGTAGGATGTTTGGCAGCATCCTTGAGCCTCTCCCACTAGATGCCACTAGAGCACCCCCTCACCCCCCAAGAAAAGATGTGTCCAAACATTGCCACATGTCATCTGGGGGAGCAAAATTGCCCATTGTTGAGAACTACTTGCTCCAAACAAAAGCACACAACACGGGGGGAGTAAAAATCCAGTGAAGGGAGTCTTGGATGGGGATGACTGTAGTCATCAATTTTGAGGACATACTTTTCCATCGCTCAGGAATTTCCCAACCAAAAAAAAAAGGCAAAGTGATTCCTGTACTTGATTGCTATGGACTGGGCTTGTCTCCTAAATCTTTCTTGTTTCTTTTGCAGAATGTCTCCTTGTTTATCAGCTACATGGCTACAAGGATTATGAAGCAAGGAAGATACACATTAAAAAAATTAAATACATATCGCTGACTCCATTGAATGGACATCCTGTCTAAGCACTGAAAAGCAACAATACCATAACACTAAAATTTTAGGCACTCTTAAATGATCTGCCTCTAAAAGCATTGGATGTAGCATCGTGCAATTAGGTTTTCCTTATTTGCTTCATTGTACTACCTGTGTATATAGTTTTTACATTTTATGTAGCACATAAACTTTGGGGAAGGGAGGGCTGGGTGGGGCCGAGGAATTGGCATGGGAGGGGTATGAAGTACTTGCTTCGTTTATAGCAAGGAGAAAAAATACTGGACTTGCGTGAAGAGGAGCAGTTTGGGGAAGGGTTTGAGTTATTTTCTTTAAAGATGTAATGTCCCTTTCCATGAGAGTTGATACAGCATTTAAAAATCATTCAAGTTTGAATCCTGGCTACAAATAATGGCTAGTGTTTTTTACATGAAGCTTTTTCTCATTTGGGAGTGCTGATGATTGCACATGTAGCAGCAAATGTCTTTTAAACAAAATAAACAACTACAATAAGAAGTGATCTCAGTGCTTCTCCCCGTCCCCCTCCAGCGCCCCCCCCCCAGTTCACTTTAAAGTTGGAATTTACCAGTGTTTGGGTAACCACTCCAGGTAATTCTGGGCAAAAATCTGGGGTGTATCAGGGGTGTTTTGAGTACTCAGAAGTGATAATTTTTATCACTTGTTGAGATAATTCAGAATCCTTGGATATTTTTTTTAAAAGATCTATGAATAACTTCATATAAAAAATAATGAAATAACTTTTACTTAAAGCTCATTCGATTTGTTAATTATGCCCAAAGGAAAGTGTTTTTTAAAGGAATGTGTAGAGAGAAAGACAGTTGTGAAGTGAAATGGATACTACATCTTTAAACGTTATTTTTACATTGCCTGTGTATGTGTATGAAACAAAACCATTTAAAGTGTACCTGTGTACATAACTCTGTAAAGACACTGAGAAATTATACTAACTTATTTATGTTAAAAAGAGATTTTCTTTTTAATCTAGACAATATACAAGCCAAAGTGGCATGTGCATTTGTAAATGCTGTGTTGGGTAGAATAGTTTTCCCCCTTCTGTTAAATAATATGGCTATGCTTAAAAGGTTGCATACTGAGCCAAGTATAATTTTTTTGTAATGTGTAAAAAAGATGCCAATTATTGTTACACATCAAGCAATCAATAAATAAAACTTCCATAGCTATTCACGGAGTTGTATTGTGTAATGTAATGAGACCTGGCCTTCTAGTCCTATTTACACAAATACCGTCTGGAGTGGCAAATAGCTAGATCATTCAGCTCCACATCTCACATAATGTCTTGTGGGTGCAAATGTAGTGATTGTTATTTTCCACTTAGTTCTGTATGGGTGGAAAGGCTTTAGAAGTGGAAAGTGGAAAAGTCACATTTTCATATAAATAAGGCAGTTGAAGTCTGCATTAGTTCAAATATTTATGTCTTCTAGGATATGAATGTGTCAGAACCAAATATTCTTACATAAGGGTAGACTGATCACACTTTTGCGAGGTTGAAAATGAAAGTAACATGGTGACTTCTCTAAATTCTGTTTTAAAACATGCAAAGTGTTGCGAGGACACTTCTCATCCAAATTATTCAATCTACATAATTCCTTTAGAAACTGGCAGGAATTCCATAATAATTTAGATATAATATGTATTCAGATAGATTCAAGTTATATCACCAATTCTTTAATTTCTTAATGTCCCAATTTGCATGTACACAACTTAAAAAAATGGTCATGTAAATACCAAAATTTGAGTGTTTTGGGTCCTCATAACCACTTAGCAAAGGAATTTTTTTTTACTGAAATAAAAAAATTAAGCCATTTAAGATCCAGATTTATTGAAATGATTTCTGTAATTTCACATTCTCTTCCAAATGTGGTTCAAGTGTAAAAGTAAACTTTTCCCTAGGAATAATAATAGTGCTTAAATAATAAAAACCTGAATTTTGTTTAAATTGTCTCCCTCGAATACTTGCATTAACATTATTGTCCCTCTAAAAAGGGACTCTCCAGAGGACAGTTTCAGCTTATTTTGACCCGAATATTTTTTATTCTTATTAAATGTTGAAAGCAGTGTCTTCCCTTTGCTATCGGGAAGGGAAAAGGAGATGCTTGCTGGCTGGGCTACATCTTCTCAGTAGGTATTTTATTTCAAGACTAAAGTTGTTTTCGTGATTCTATTCAAAACGCATACGGGGTGTTACTCAGGAAGAGACTGAGAAAGCAAGAAAAACAATTCAAAATGGGGTGGAAGGAGTGGAAAGTCAGGAAATAATGAAATAAAATTAATGTCTCCTTGAGTTCATAAGAAGACTTTAAAAAGTGACTAACGGGGGGAAATCCCTTAATTGCTGTGTGCACCCCACTTTTCTTTCTTAAAGAGGCGTCTTTAATGTGGATTTCTAGAGACTGCGTTCTAGGACAGCTGGGCCGGGACACAGTGGATGCTCGCCGCGCTTGGCACGTTCACAGGGAACTCAGCCCCCAAGTCACCGTGTCTGTGCCGTTCACGTCTGTGTCAAGTCCCCAGATCTGTCCCCCGACCAAGGGGAACATTTTCCCCAAGGTTGGGGACTGAGGGACCCGTGGCGGGCGTCCCTCCGAGGGGATGTAGCCTCCTTGCTACCCCGCCCTCGCGCCGTCGTCTCGCCAAACTGCCCCGCAACCCCGCGCCGGGCAGCCAGCAGCTGACTTTGCGGGATCGGGCTTGGCGTGCGGTCCGGGCCGAAAGGGACGTCCCGTCTGACTGATCTGCAGCAACTTGAGGCTCCCACACCGTCCTGGTCGCTGCGTGCAGTTCCCGCGCCCCGGGCGCCCGCAGGCCGGGGCGGGCGCCTGTACCTCGGCCCGCGTAGCCGGGCTGGGCGGTTTCTCAAAAACTTTCCTGTCTCATCCTCTCTTTCCTGGGATAAGAAAGAAAGGAAAGACCCTCTGTCCTTGCACCCACAGACCCTCCGCCTCTGTCCCCTGCCAATTCCGGGGCCGCTTGGGAATCGGGGCGAAGGGAGAACCTTTCCCAATTCGTGGACCCTCCCGGGAAGCAGCCCGCTCCCACCCCTACCCTGGGCTCCAATGATCCTCCGCCCCGCGCATTTCGAAAGGCTTCCCGGCTCGCCGGCGGCCGAGGGCCGCAACTGCGAGCCGGCAGGGCCGAGCGCCACCGCCGCTGCTGGGGGTCGCTTCCTCCCTTCCATCCGCTTTGCAAAGTTCCCCCGTCGCATCCCTGGCCGCCCTGAGTGGGGGACTGGGACAGAGGAGAACTAGAGGAAAATGTGGGTTTACGGGCATGATCCGGGGGTTCTTGGCAACCGACAGGAAGGCAGCTGGGCGGGCGGCCTTTCAGGCCACCGTGCGCCCACCACCCTGGCGCGCGGAGCGACCTTTCCCGGTGGCTGGGAACGCTGCCTTCACCATTTCATCCTCACCATCGTTAGCGTGAGACACTTGCTCCTCAAAAGCTTTGGGATCGAAAATGCTATTTTTAAAGTTCGTCTAAGGCCTCCGATCTGCTTTTTCGGAGTACGGATTTTTTAAAAAAAAATGTATTCTCCTTCACCTGAGCCACACCCTACACACGCCACCCCCTCCCTCGCGGCCAAATGTAACGTAAAAATCCCGCCAGCAAAGCTGGGGGATGGGAAGAGGGCACCGGCCAGGGTAGGCGCCCCTTCACCCCATCCGGGAGGGGGGGGATCTCCTAGAACTCGGCTCGTGTAGGGGCGGGGTGGGTGGGGTCGGCTTCAGGCCCCGCGGAACCGAAAGTGTAATCTTTACGCTTAAACGCCTTTCCCCGAGTGGCCGGCGGCGTACCTGGCCTGTCTTGCGTGGGGACACACGCAGGACAAGCAGGAATCAAAGTAAAAAGTATCCCCCGTAATAGAAGCGCAGGCGTGTTGAGCGCGAAACCTCGACGCGCCTCAAAAGGAGCGTTAAGGAAAGGCCGGGAGCTGGGAGCGGGGCGAGCGGCCGGGTCCCGGCCCGGGGATTGCATCATCGCCGCTCCCCGGCCAGAAAATGGGCTCCGAACCGCGGCCACCATCATGGCGCTCGGGCCGGGCTGCGCTTCCCGCGCGCCTACCCGGAGTGCTCGGGCCGCGGGCGCGGAGTCTCGAACCGGCATTTTGCAAAACGTCCCCCTCCTCTCTCCAGGGCCCGTCCCCTCCCCCACCCCCTTTTGTGTGCGTGCGTGTGTGTGTGTGTGTGTGTGTGTGCGCGCGCGCGCGTGTGTGTGCGTCGGTGTGAGCTTCGGGCTGGAGAACTTGGAGATTTTTTTTCTTCTCTTTTTTCCCTCCTGTGCTGGTGGTTGTAAACTTGATTGGCATTGGCTGCGCCCACTGACCCCTGCGCCGAGTCCACTGAAGATTTAAGGTGGATCCGAGCGGCGGCCGCGACGGGCGGAGCCTCGCGCTTTAGCTGGTTTGGGAGAAGGGGAAAGAAAAAAAAAAAAAAAAGCTCATGAAAACACCCCAAACCTTGGGCCCGCCTGGCTGTGCGAATCCCCGGCGTACCAGCCCCGACACCCGCCCCGCCCGCCGCGCCGTCCCTCCGCGTCCTCCCGCTTCTTCCCATTGGCCCGCGCCTGAGTTTGAATTTTTTTTTTTTGGATGCTTGTTTTCTGGTTAAAAAACACACACACACACACACAGTACCCCAGAACGTGTGCTGAAACCTACTTGTGCGACTAGAGTGGGGTGTTTTAGCTGGTTTTGTGGAGGCTGGGAGGAGGAGCGAGGAGGGTGGCGGGTGGGAGGGGCTTCGGTTCCAAAATCGCCCCCCCACTCCCCCAACAAAGTGCGGTTGACAGTGTGCAGGCGGGTGGGGGAGCGTGGGGCTCCTGTAAACCAGCAGGAGAAATCTTGGCGCGGCGGAGATGTAGTATAAAACGTTAATGGATGTCCAGGGCGCGCCTTTTCCCCGGCTGCTAGCCAGAGGTACCAGGGAGGCGCTGGCAGGAACCCAGGCGAGGATGTACCTTCCCTGCCTTGGAAAGGTAGAATTGCGTAAAGGTGGGAGGGTGGGTGAAGGTGGCCCTGAAAAGAACTGCTAAGAGAAAAGAGAGAGACGCAGAGACAAGATGAGAGAACCAGAGAGAATGCATATCATAATTCAGGCAGTCGGTGTCATTTTTACTGAATTTTCAAAAGTTGTGCCTCAGATTGCCAGTGTTTTTGAGCAAGGAAAATCTTAAAATCACGACAGGAAGTAGGAATTTTCCATTGATTTCTGGGTCTGGAAACTGATTCTTGTGACAACGTGTTTTTAAATTTAGGATAATGACATTTGTAATGCAGGTCTCCTAGCAATGATGTGTTTTACTGGTTATCACTGAATTAAGTTTGATTTTACTTCAAACATTTTGAGTTTGTAATTCAAGTTATTCTCCAAATCACTCTAGCTTCAGATGAGTGAAGTTAACTACTTTTTTGGTCTGTTACTTTTGTTGCATTGCAGCTAAGGATTTTAATAAAATATCCTACTACTATCCCTGCCTTTAGTTTTACAACTCCTAACCCAACTTCTCAGTCCATTTTAGTTCTTAACTCCCCATACCTTCCTCATGGGCCTAAGCCCTTTTGACCACCATAGACCAAATCTGCTTGTGCCCATAGCAAGTTTTTTTTTTTTTTTTTTTTAAAGTTAATGTTGCTACTTTCAGGAGGTCACAGTGACTCATCATACATGGAATAAGTCAGATATTCTTAGTCTGGGTGACCCCTTGATCGGACACTGGAGACAAGATACAAATATGAATGATTGATCAGACTAGTGACTGTGACTTTCAAAGTTTGTTCCAGCCCCTTAAGATATTGTATCTTCAGCGTTGGAATTTCTAGATTTCCACTAAATGAAGCAATCTTCCATGACCATTGCCACCTACAAGAGTTGTACTGTCCTCAGTGATGCCCAGAAACCAGTGTGTGGCTTTGGGCACAACAAGGATAGCCACTGTCATATGATATAGGTCACACATGTGACATAGGTCTCCAGGAATCAGAATGAAAAAGTGACCTTAAATGTCAGTGGTTTTTTTTTTTTTTTTTTTTTTTTTTTTTGGCCCTCCCTGGTGGCTCAACTGGTTAGGACACAGCACTGCAAGCCAGCTATAACCGCTTCAGTGCGAGTTCCATCCCAGGCCCCAGAGGTGACCCACATGGCATGGCAGACCTCTCCTGACACGC